TGTGCGCATCTGTCTCTGTGTGTGTGCGTCTCTGTGTGTGTCTGTGTACGTCTCTGTGTGCGTGTGTCTCTGTGCGCGTGTGTCTCTGTGCGTGTCTCGGTGTCTGTGTGTGTGTCTCGGTGTCTGTGTGTGTGTCTCTGTGTCTGTGTGTGTGTCTCTGTGTCAGTGTGTGTGTCTCTCTGTGTGTGTGTGTATGTATATATATATATATATATATATATATGTGTGTGTGTGTGTGTGTGTCTCTTTCTCTGTGTTTGTGTGTGTGTGTATATGTTTGTGTGTCTCTGTGTGTGTCTGTGTGTTTGTGTGTGTATATATATGTATGTATATATGTTTGTGTGTGTGTATATATGTATATGTAGAGCACCCTCGCTAATTTAAGAAGCACCCTCAGTGATTTGATTCTGGAGCCGGGCCTGGTAAAGAAGAATTGCAGCGCTGTAATAGCATGTCAGCGGTTCTCCTGTAAGAGCTGTTCATTCGTAGATTCGTGACTCTGTAGGATGAAACATTTCCTGTGAAAAACTTTAAACATTGACGGTGCGCATGTCCTGACGCAGTGAAGTCGAGTCAGAGAGTGAAAGAATCAGACGCTCTGGAGAAGAAGAGACGGACCTCATTCTTCCTCCTGCAGTGTGAAAGTGAAGGGAGGGGTGTTTCTGCAGCAAACCGAGCGCTGCTTTCTAATCAGACCTTCTCTTTCTCTCTCTCTGTGTGTGTGTGTTCATATGCTGCTTCCATGTCCACTAAGGAGATGACAATGGGAAAAAAGCCAACAACCCAAACCACTGCAGCTGCATCATTGACCAAATCTTCACGGGAGGCCTGCAGTCTGACGTCACCTGCCAAGTCTGCCAGTAAGAGCCGACGCAGCGCAGATGAATCGAGCAGAGCCTATATCCGTATCAACCCTTCATGCATCTGTTCTCGCTTAAATGGATGCATTGAATTGAATGTGTTGATGTGTTATTCTGCTAGTTTGTTTGTGAATACGTTTTTTTTTTTTAAGGGACAGTTCACCCAAAAATAAAAACTTCTGTCATTCACATTTTATCAGTGCTTTTTGCACACACAAATATAAGAAAAATATTTTATTTAATTAATTTTACACAGTATTTAAATATTTAATTTATTCGAATTTTTATCAGTAATTTTTTGCGCACACACAAAATAAATAAAAATATTTATTATCAAATTAAGTATTTTACACAATTTAAAGTACTTTAAAGTACTCAGTACTTTTTTGCACAAAAAATATTGGGAAACTATTTAATTAGAAAATTTAATATTTTTGTGTTATATTTAATGTTTTTGAATTTTTTATCAGTACTTTTTTGCACACAAACATAATTTTTAAAAAAAAGCATTGTCCATTAAAATATTTTAGACAGTATTTGAATATTAAATATGGAATTTATTGGAATTTTTATCAGTACTTTTTTGCACACACAAAATAAATAAAAATATTTATCTAATTAAGTATTTTACACAAAATTTAAATATTTAATTTATTAGAATTTTTTCTCGGTATGTTTTTGCACACAAATATAATATAAAAAAACATTTATTGTCCATTAAAATATTTTACACAGTATTTAAATATGTTATTTATTGGAATTTTATCAGTACTTTTTTTAGCAGAAAATATTGGCTAAAATATTTAATAATAAAAAATAGATACTTGTAAAAAAAATGATATTTGATATTCATTTAAATTTTTTATCAGTACTTTTTGGTATTGAATAAATTAGGTATGCAATCAGCATTTAATTTTGAGGTCCACATGTGGTATCTTGGTAGGCTGCATAATTATCCTTCCTACTTTGTGAAACAGTCATCAAATCTGTGTTGCCTTATAATGCTCCCTACGTAGGCAGCTCACTAGGTTTTGGAACAGAGCCAGTGTCTGTCTCCTGTGTTCTATAGTAACCCAGTTTGAATGCCATTGAATGTTCTGGAGTGTTCAGATCCTGTGTGAAATGCACAGGTCATTGATGCTCATCAGCGCCACCCTGTGTTTAACAGAGGTATTGCACTCCGCCCATTCAGTTCCTGCTGCGTCTTGATTATTTAAGTGCCGCTGCTTCTAGAGTTTTAATGACTTCCACCTAATTAATTAGTGTTTTTTTTTTTTTACGGCTGTGCCCTACAAGACTGACAAGCAGATGGAAGCGCTGCTCTTTTTGCTGATTATTTGTGAGCATAAAACCAGCCATAAGTGAAGACCCTACTCAGTGCGTGTTTTGCAAGTTTCCCATATTTTATTGGACTGTCCAGCTTTTAATGCATGTAGAAAACTCTTAAAAATAAGCAGCACAGGTATAAATTGACCCTTATGACTTTTTTTGTGCTCCAGAGTCACATTTGGTGTTTTCTCGTCCGCAGTGGGGTTTCCACAACGATAGACCCGTTCTGGGACATCAGCCTGGATCTGCCGGGGTCATCCACCCCGTTCTGGCCGCTCAGCCCAGGCAGCGACGGCAGTGTGGTGAACGGAGACAGTCACCCGAGCGGAGCCACCACGCTCACAGACTGCTTACGCAGGTACAGACGCACCTGCAGCCGTACAGACAGCCGTGTCCGTGTCTGCGACCGCCACTGACTCACGCTTCTGCATCGCAGGTTCACTCGACCCGAACACTTAGGAAGTAGCGCCAAGATCAAATGCAGCGGTTGCCATAGTTACCAGGAGTCCACCAAGCAGCTGACGATGAAGAGGCTTCCTATCGTGGCGTGTTTCCACCTCAAAGTGAGTGTGCATGCATTACAGTCCGTGTTACACATCCAAGTGCATTGCATATGAGCCACTTTGAAGTAGGGATACATGACGTATCAGTTAAAAAGCAACATTATTGGTCATTTAAATGGTATCTGATAAAATTTTGGTTATCATTTTTATATACTGAGCAATATCATATGTATTTATAATTGTGCATGCTTATTTCTCCTATGTTTTCTTATGTTTAGATAATCTTTGCATGTTAAATGTAGGTTTTAGCAAATATAAAAATGAATGGCTATTTTAATACTGTGCATTATTTTGAATCCAGAATTCGCTGTTAATATTATTTTCACAAGTGTAATTATAAAAGTTTATGATGATCACAATAATGGTTAATATTATAACTACTGTTATTATATTATTAAATTGTAATCTTTATTCATATTATTAAAATAATATTAATATTAAATGATAAAGTATAGAAATATCACAATTCTATTATACTGCGTACTATGTAAAAACAATTATACACAGTAATTAGTTTTATTTCATAATTCACTTTTCAAATTTTTTATTTTTGTTATTATTATTATTACTGTAATATTTTATTATTTATTTAGTAATATATAGTAATATTGTATTACTATTCACATTAGTATAGAATTTTAATATTTCTATACATCAGTTAATTATCATTTTATATTAATTATTAAATGTTGCCAAAAATATTATTATTTTTAAGTATTAAATGATTAAGAAATATTAAAATTCTGTACTACTGTGTTGTATTTAAAACAGAATTACTCAGTAATTTGTTTTGATACCAGAATTCACTTTTCACAAATTTCTTTTAGATTATTATTATTATTATTTTTATTATGAATTTTAATATTATTACTGTATTAATAGCTTATTCTATTATTTTTGTTTTATGCACATTAGTATAAAATTGTTATATTTCTATACATCATTTATTTATAATTAAACATTAATTATTTAATGTTGGTACTATTATTAAATATCAAATGAGGAGTGTTTAGAAGTATTAAAATTCTGTTTAAAGCAAAATTACTCAGTAATTGGTTTTGATGGCAGACTTTATTTTCACAAATTTATTTTAGGTTTTTATTATTATTATTATTATTTGTATTATCATTGCTGCTACTACTACTACTACTACTTTAAAAATATATTATTTTATTATTTATTGTTTTACCCAGAGTAGTATGGAACGTCAATTTCAATAGACATTTCTTGTTTAAATTTTTTTTTTTTTTTTTTTTTTTGTAATGGTAATAATAGCAAAAATTTTAATACTGTTCATTTTGCCCTGAATAAAGCCATTGCTGCTGATCTGGTGTTACATCATAAATAAACAAATAAATATTATTGTCATAATTACTATTATTATTATACATTTATTGGTATTGGCCATAATATTAGAATAATTATCAGCTATTAGGTAGTCATCATCAGACAGTGTTTTTATATTGGTGCATCTGTACAGTCTGGCCAAGATCTGACAAAACATTGAATATTTTTCAAAGATAGTTGAAATGTTTCCATCAGCAGGTTGAGTGTAGATCAGACGCGTCAGAAGGTCTGTGTGCTTCCTTCTGCTTCTGTGTTTCTTTACACTCACAGTTCTGTGTGTTTGATTGCTCTGGTTTCTCCTGTCCAGCGGTTCGAGCATTCGGCGAAGCTCCGGCGGAAGATCACCACCTATGTGTCCTTTCCTCTAGAGCTGGACATGACGCCCTTCATGGCCTCCAGGTACAAGCCTTCACTGTGCTTACTGTAGGGATTATCATTAAAACCGTATTCGATTACCGTGATTTGAACAACTGAGGATAAATAAACACTGTCCAGCATAAAGCAGAGTTTTCAGTAACAGTCTCACTTGTGCACAGCAGCAGAGTCGTTTAGTTTTGTGTGAAAACACGGCGGAAAAGCTGGGAGGTTTTATAGAGTGCTAACGAATTAATTATATAGATGTACCTCTGAAGGTTCTGACTGTCTTCAGAAAAGATTCAATGGCATTTGGTTTTCATCTTCGCTTCATGTGATACCTAATAAAGTAGTGTTTTAATCGCAACGCTGAGGTTATGAGAAACCGCTGTAGTTCTGCTGCTCCAGAAGCGCCACCTGCTGTCAGAGACTGGATTTACAGAGAGTTACGTTCACATTCTGTCTGGACATAAAATAGACCGAATTTGCATGCCCTGCTGTACATTTTGACTGGTTGATGAAAAACAAACTTATGTGGATTCTACACATTTAAACAATTCAGATAAGGTATCTAAAAGTATTTATGGAGCAGATAAAATACATCATTTATTAATCAATTATCATTTTGACTGAACCCTTTTCTTTATTTAAAGGCTGAAATGTGAGGTTTACCATTTTATGAAAAATTTTCAAAGCTTTATTTGAACATTTCATGCATGCCATTAGATAAACTGTTTCAGTAGGGCTGCTCGATTATGACAAAAATCATAATCACGATTATTTTGGTCAATATTGTAATCACGATTATATAACACAATTATTAGTGGGCCATATAACCTTTTTTTTAATTTTTTTTATGCAAGTCTCAAGTATGCAGCTAACAGCCTGCTATAGAAATTAAATAATCAAATGTAAAATAAAACAGCATAGTCTTCACTGTAAGAATTAAACTTGCTTTTTTTCTTATTAAAGCTACAAAAGTCCTTCTGTGAAGAGCAGTGAGTGGTTTTGTTTTTGTCTTTTGTTGTTTGATTAATATTAAGCGCACAGTTGCAGCAGGAATATAGCTGCTGTCACTTTAAGAGCCGCATGGATTCAATTTACTGTTACACATGTATTTTCATTCTCATCTGTTTACATTCATTTATTACATAACCGACGAGGGTTTATGTGAATAATCGCCGCATTTTGACACATTTTTGCGTGTATTTGACCGTTTAGGCGCTAAAAGATGACTTTACATGTCTCTGAGCGCATGCACTGAAATCCTCCTGAGGAGCAGCGCAAGTTCTCTTTCATGCTTTTAAAAACATTAATAAATCTAATCAACTTTAGTAACTCAAGCACGTCCCATTTTGCAAAAGTCACGTTACATGATTTTACTGATTTACACACGTGAAAATGGGCTTTTATGGAGGAGCGAAAGTCTGCTGGAAAGGGGGCGGAATAATCGTTTTATCTCGATAATTGTATTTTCATAATCGTTGGAGGTCAAAATCGAAACTGAATTTCGATTAATTGCACAGCCCTAATTTTAAATACAAAACTTGGTGAAATTATTTGTCAGTACTTTTCAACATTTTCAGCACATTTTAACAATACCGTACCGTAAAACGATTAGTCGCGATTAATCGATTCAAAATAAAAGTTTGCATACTAACTTAACTTTGTTTACATACTGTATGTGTGTGTACTGTCTACATTTATTATGTATAAATACAGACACATGTATGTATATATTTTAAAAAAATCTATATGTGTTTTATGTATTTTATGTAAACACTTGTATATAATTTATATTATATATAAGTATAAATATTTTGCATATAAATCTAACATATTTTTCCTTAATATATACATGAATGGGTGTGTATTTATATTATCATTATAATTTTTTTTAATATACATAATAAATATACACATTACACACACATTATGTAAACAAACTTTTATTTTGAATCGATTAATCGCGACTAATCGTTTTGCAGCCCTACTGATAATTTAGGTCACTATAATCGTGATAAGAAATTTACGGTAACACTTTATTTTAGGGTCTCTTAACTAGTCGCTTATTTGCATGCATATTACTAGAATATTAGCCATTTATTAGTACTAATTAAGCACATATTAATGCCTTATTCTACATCCCTAATCCTACTCAATACCTAAATTTAACAACTACCTTACTAACTATTAATAAGCAGCAAATTAGGAGTTTATTGAGGGAAAAGTCGTAGTTAATTGTGAATAAGTGTTCCCGATTCTAAAGTGTTACCAAATTTTCATACGGTTACATCTCTAGCTCACAGTGCAGACAGTAAGAGAATGTCCTGACGTCTGTCCTGTTTGTGTCCCAGTAAAGAGAGCCGGATGAACGGACAGTACCAGCAGCCTGTCGACTCGCTGAACAACGAAAACAAGTGAGTGAGCGTCTGCTGCGTTCAGTGTGATCCGGTGTGATGATTGGTCCTGTGACGCGTCTGTGTGTCTGCTGCAGGTATTCTCTGTTCGCGGTGGTCAATCATCAGGGCACGCTGGAGAGCGGCCACTACACCACGTTCATCCGCCAGCACAAGGACCAGTGGTTTAAATGTGATGATGCCATTATCACTAAAGCCAGCATTAAAGATGTTCTGGACAGCGAGGGGTCTGTCGCACACTCACACTCTCACACACACACTCACTCGCACTCACACTCACACTCACACACACTCTCTCACACACACACACACACAGACACAGACACATTCACACACACAGACACACACACACAC